ACCGAAGAAACGGTCTGGGTCGAGGTAAAATGGAGACATGAAAGTAGGCGTCCTTCAGGTCTATCGCTGCAAACCAATCCTGGGGCCGAACACATTTGAAAATGCGTTTGGCCGTGAGCATATTGAACGGCAGCCGGTGAAGGGTGCGGTTCAAAACGCGCAGGTCCAGGATCGGTCGTAACCCACCGGTTTTCTTGGGAACATTGAAGTAGGGGCTGTAAAACCCTGAATTCATCTCGGCTGGAGGGACGGTCTCGATTGCACCCTTCGCCAGCAGGGTGGCAACCTCCGCTCTCATGATCAGGGCATTGCCACTCGTTCGTTTCACATTCGTTTAGCGGGGCGTTGGGGCTGAGGGGGCTGTGGCGCCTTCCTGCGGTTTCCTCCTCGACGCGGTCCGGGTGAAGGCTGCTGCTGGGACCGTGCGAGAGGGGGGGGGGGCGCAGGAGGGCATCCTCGGTGGCGAGCAGGCTGAGGCGTCTGTGCCGACGGCTGGGTGGAGGCAGCAGCTGGCCGTCGGGGCAGAATGTGTTTAATCGCCTCAGACTGCTTCTGGGCGATCGAGAACTGCTAGGCAAAGTCCTCAACCGAAAAGGCCAGTCTGGGATATGAGGGCATCAAGCAGACAAGTCCGCTCAGCGTCCCGCATATCAGCCAGGTTAAGCCATAGGTGATGTTCCTGGACCACGTTAGTGGCCATCACCTGACCCAGGGAGCGCGCCGCCACTTTTGTCGCCCGGAGAGAGAGGTCAGTGGCGGCACGCAGTTCGTCAAACGTCCCCGGATCAGTCCCGCCCTCATGCATATCTCTGAGCAGCTGGGCCTGGTAGACCTGTAAGGTGCTCATCGCATGCATGGGAGCAGCCGCCTGTCCTGCAGCTCTATAAGACCTCGCCACCATAGATGACGAGAACCTACAGGCCTTGGACGGGTGCTTTGGATCACCACGAGAGGACGCGCTCTGAAAGCTGACGAACGTTCACGGGAGGTCAAAGGAGCCTTCCATGACTTCGCCAACTCCTCATGCAGTTCTGGGAAGAAAGTAATTGGGGTTGGCTGAGGCTTTGCAGCGGCAGGCACACCCAAAAACCAATCGTCCAACCGCGAGCGAATGGGACAGGGCGGAGGAGTCCACTCTAGCCCGATGCTCCCGGCCGCCCGGGACAACATAGCAGTCATTTCGGGATCCGAAACGGGCAACGCTGGGACCCCCGAGGGAGGCAGTGCAGCCGCATCATCACTTCCCAATGACTCTTGCTCGCCTTGTGATGCCGCGATTGTCATCGCGTCCTCCTCTGGAGCGCCGAATGAAACACGCGGCACCTCCGTGGAAAGCCCCACCTGAATCACTGCAGCACTCGCGGGTTGCGACACTGGAGAGGGGGGCGTGGTCCGAGGACGTGTCCTCGGATCACTCCACACCGTCACCCTCAGATCACCCGGTCCCCCAGCCAAACTACTAGCCCTGTTAGAGGAAGCAGAACGGGTGGTGGATGGGGGGACTCTCACTTTCAGATCATAGAGTCTAGACCTCAGTGTAGCGATGGTCATGTTCCCACAAAAGGAACATGAGTCATCCACGAGTGCTGCTTTTGCATGCTCAAAGCCCAGACACACAAAACAACACTCGTGCCCATCAGAAGATGACAAATATCGACCGCAACCAGAAAAAAACGGGCGAGACATTTTTAAAATGACGCGCACCGTGCAGCTCTTTCAGGAGAGGAAGCTCTACAAGCGCTGAGGCGACCAGGGAGAAAACACAGAGTCCGGCAGACCGCAACACAGACCGCAGGCAAAGTGAAGACTCACTGGGTATCGCCGTCACACCAACACTGGAGAGCCGCTCTTTAGCCGCTCTACTTCTTGAAGAGGGTGAGTCACTTGTAAACTCAGATCTTGTGGCTTGTGGAGTGAAGAGATGCTTTTGGCTCCGAAGCGAAAAACATACTGCGGTTGTGTCCGCTTCCTCCTTTTATACTCATGGGGTGAGGCGGAAATACGCTATGCAAATTCCGCAGACCCATGGCATTTCTTTGCCATTGGCTCGTTTTCTAATACTCGAAGAGGATTGGCTTTCTAGGCGAAACCCCCATTCTCCGTCATCCGACGTAACTCGGAGTGACTACGAAAAGGGAACAGACAGATGTACTCTGAACATTTGGTTTCATACGAGGCTGATTTGGAAAGAGCAAAATCATCCTTTTATGTGAATATCATTGCCAATGGACAAAGTAATACAAGGACTCTATTCAGTACTTTTAACCAACTGTTGCAGCCTCACAATACTGTTTCACTTTCACCCTGTCAATGTGAATCTGTTTCAACATTTTTTTAGATCTAAGATTGACAGTATACATCAAGAATTGCTTCATTCTGACTTAATGTCTAGTGATCATCAAAATGTTTTTAATAATGATCCCAGATGGTCTGCAAGTTCTTTTCAAACTTTGAGCTGCCTTCAGTTGATTTAATTACTAAGCTGATCATTAAGTCTAAGTCTTCTACTTGCTCACTGGATCCTTTACCTACTGTTTTAGTTAAGTCTTGTATTCATTCAATCTCTCATATTATTACAGCTATAGTTTGTTCATCATTATCTACTGCCTCTGTTCCTCAACCATTAAAAATGGCTTCTATCACTCCAATTCTCAAAAAACCCGGGGCTGATCCTACTGATCTAAATAATTATAGGCCCATCTCTAATCTTCCTTTTATATCTAAAATACTTGAGAGAATAGTAGCAGCTCAACTTGAATCACATTTGCGAGACAATGACATTTTTGAGCATTTTCAGTCAGGTTTTAGATCTAAACACAGTACAGAAACGGCTCTTGATAAAGTTACAAATGATCTTCTCTTGGCTGCTTGATTCGGGATTCTTGTCTATTCTTATTCTTCTAGATATTAGTGCTGCCTTCGACACTATTAGTCACTCAGTATTACAGGAACGATTGGCTTGTATTAGAGTAGCAAGTAATGTCCTACTTTGGTTTTCATCATATTTATGTGACAGGAAACATTTCGTACAGATTCAGAATGCTCAATCAGAGCCAGTCTTAGTTACCCACAGTGTTCCTCAGGGGTCAGTGTTGGGTCCGCTTTTATTTACTATTTATATTTTACCCCTTGGTCGTATTTTTTCATTCTTATGGTATTAATTTTCATTTTTATGCAGACGACACACAAGTATATATATCAACAAAACCGAATGCTTCTCATCCGCCAGCTAACCTTACTAAATGTTTGCAGGATGTTAACATATGGTTGACTAATAATTTTTTAAAGTTAAATACTATTAAAACCGAAGCCCTCCTTGTTGGGTCTAGGTCTGTCTTATCCAAATCTCAACCCTTCACTTTGCTCATTGATAACTGCTCAGTTAACTTCTCCAGCCAGGTGAAAAGTCTTGGGGTTATATTTGATGGTTTACTTTCTTTTAGTTCCCATATTAATGCAATTTCACGTGCTACATCTTTTCATTTACGTAATATTTCTAGACTTCGTTCTTCACTTTCTCAGCACTGTACTGAAGTACTCATTCATGCTTTAGTTACATCTCGGATTGATTATTGCAATTCCCTTTTATTTGGTATTCCGGATAAACAACTCCATAGATTACAGTTAATTCAGAATTCTGCAGCAAGGATTGTAACTCACTCAAATATTTTTGATCATATAACTCCAGTTCTTTACCAGAACAATCCAAGACCTTGCTTTAACAAGGCCCAGGGAAAGGAAATGAGACATCTGATTCAAGAGGAGGTCCGAGCTGGGGTGGAAGAAATCCGCTGCAGCAGGTCAGTCGGGATGAGGCAGCAGGGAGCATGGACTCGATGGGAGCAGGCAGCAGACCGGAAAATATCGTGGACAGAATTGTGGAAGTCTGAGCCACACCGGATTAAATTCCTGGTTCAGTCTGTTTATGATGTCCTCCCCAGTCCATCCAATCTCTTCCGCTGGGGCCTAGCAGAGACACCACTGTGCCCACTCTGCCAGAGAGGAGGTTCATTAGAGCACATCTTGAGCTGCTGCTCAAAAGCACTGGGAGAGGGGCGCTACCGTTGGCGCCACGACCAAGTACTGAGGGTCATTGCAGAGGTTATCAGCACTGGGATCGCATGCAGTAGATACCAGCGACCAGCAAGACAGAACATCACCTTTGTTAAAGCTGGGGAGAAGCCACAGCAGCGCCTGAAGCAATCAGGGGGGCTGCTGGCAACAGCACAGGACTGGCAGCTGAAGGTCGACCTTGGGAAACAGCTCAAATTCCCAGAAAACATCGCAGTGACCACACTCAGCCCAGACATTGTCCTGGTGTCAGAAATAACAAGGCAAGTGGTCCTGCTGGAGTTGACTGTCCCCTGGGAAGATCGGTTGGAGGAGGCTTTTGAGAGGAAGAGGGCCAAGTATGAGGAGCTGGCAGGCGAATGCCGAAGCAGGGGGTGGAGGACTCGATGTAATCCCATCGAGGTCGGGTGCAGAGGATTCGTCGGCCAGTCACTGATTAGGGCCCTCAAGATGCTTGGAGTGGAGGGACTGCACATCAGGAAAGCCGTCAAGAACATCACGGACGTTCTGTGAGATGGCTGTGGATCAAGCGGGGCGATCCATGGATCATACAAGCTACTCAGACACAAGCCAGGGTCTGATCAACCCTGGCTGGGTCACCTGGGCGAGGGTGTATGATGTTGTGAGACCCGAAACACCCAATGAACTCAGGATACATAACTGATGATGTGTCTGAGTTGCACCAGAGGTGTATTTCAATAACGATCCCATCCGGGTTCTGACCCGTGTGCAAAGTTTCAAGAGTTTTTGAGCATGTTAAGGGCCCCAAAAGTGCCCAAATAGTAATAAAATAAAAAATTAAAATTAAAATAAAATTAAAATAAATAAATAATCGGAAGGAAAACAATAGGGCCTTCGCCCTTTCAGGGCTTGGGCCCTAATGAAGTGAAGCTTGCAAATAAAAGTAGTAAACATTAGCAAATCACTTGTTAAGTCAATTCACCATTTATTTAGCACTTTTAACAATATACATTGTTTCAAACCAGCTTTACAGTGTTGATAGTAACTAAAAGTAAGAGAGACTGTTTTGGCTTTACAGCAGCTCTAAAATAAGGTTATTGTCGAGCTAAAGTTCGTTCTGATTGATTCAAAAAACAAAAAAAAAAAAAACCTGCATTTGAGCAGATAATCATATTTGGCCCACATTTAGCTGCGATGTGAACGTAGCCTTAATTTAACGCATATCCGGATTTTCTGGTGCCATTTTAAATTGCCAAGCCATTTGAAATGCTTCCCACACAAAGAACATGAATAAGTTCTCAGATATGCATGACTTTTCATATGTATTTTTAAGTGTGATGGCAAAAGAAATTGTTTATGACACCGATCACAATTAAATGATTTTCCACTAGAGTGGATGAGCAGATGATTTCTAAAATTGCTCATTTTTGTAAACCTCTTGCCACACTCTAAACACTGCATTTTCTTTCCAGAATGAGTTTGCAAACTACGTTTTAGGTCTCTTTGACATGCCCGCTGAAGACGGGTGAAGGGCTTGTCTCCAGTGTGAGCGCTCAAGTGATCCTTAAGGGTTTTTTTGAATCTGAAACTTTTTCCACACACGTGGCATTCATAAGGCTTCGTTGTGTGTCCGGATGCAAGATGCCTGTTAAGGCTTTTAAGGCTACGGCAACATCTTCCACACTCATGACATATAAAACAGTTCTCTCTTGAGTGAATCTTTCTGTGCTGAGTAAGGGTTGCTTGACGTCTGAAACTCCTTCCACACTGATCACATGCGAATGGCTTCTCTCCAGTGTGACGGTTCATGTGATATTGAAGATTTTGCTCCCGTGTGAAGCCCTTCCCACACAGTTTGCAAGTGAAGGGACTCTTTCCAGTGTGACTTTTCATGTGGGCATTAAGGGAATTTTTATATCTGAAACTTTGTCCACACTGTGGGCATGAGTAAGGCTTCTCTCCGCTGTGAAGTCTCATGTGGATTTTAAGGTTTCCTTTTTCAATGAAACTTTTTCCACACTGATCACATTCAAAACAGTTCTCTCTTGAGTGAATCTTAGAGTGGTTATAAAGCGTTTGTTTACGGCTAAAACTCTTTCCACACTGATCACATCTGAATGGCTTCTCTCCATTGTGAATGTACATGTGATATTTAAGGTTTACTGCTACCGTGAAACACTTTCCACACAGTTTGCAAATGAAAGGCCTCTCTCCGGTGTGAATTCTCATGTGCCTGGCAAGGGCTCCTTTTTGAGTGAAACTCGTTCCACATTGTTGGCATGTGTAAGGCTTCTTTTCATTGTGAATTCCCATGTGGACTTTAAGGTTTCCTTTTTGAGTAAAACTCTTTCCACAATGTTGGCACATGAAAGGCTTCTCTTCATTGTGGAATCTCATGTGGACTCTAAGGTCTTCAGGTTTATTGAAACCCGTTCCACACTCAAAGCAGGAGAAAGCATTCTCTCCATTGTGGATTCTCATGTGGACTCGGAGGTCTTCGGGTTGATTAAAACCCGTTCCACACTCCAAGCAGGTGAAAAAAAATCCAGTTCCTGTCTTCTGAGATTTTTTTTGTACAGAAGTCCTTTCAATTTGCGAGGAACTAAATGATTTTTCTCCAGTTATGAGAGCATTATGTTTCTCTTCCATTTCCATCAGGACTTCACTCTCATCTTTCAGTGGCATTTCTCCATTGTGTATTCTCATGTGGACTCGAAGGTCTTCGGGTTGATTGAAACCCGTTCCACACTCAAAGCAGGAGAAAATAAATCCAGCTCCAGTCTTCTTAGCTCTTTTTCGTGAGTAAGTCTTTACAGTTTTTGATGAACCAAATGATTTTTCTTCTCGCGCTTTGAAAGCATTGTTTCTCTCATACTGATCTTTCTCTTCCATTTCATTCAGGATTTCACTCTCCTCTTTCAGTGGCATCAGGCCTAAGGCACAAAAAGACAAATTAAAGTTAACCCCAGTTTAATGGCACAAAGCAACAGACATCTAAATATATAGACATGCAAAACATCAAAAACCAAAATAGGGCATCAATCAAAACCAAAAACATGTATGCTGCTAGATGATCCCATAGCTACTAAGCTACTGAAAGAGGCATTTTCTTCAGAACATGAACCTCTTCTCAATTTTGTCAACTCTTTGCTTTATTTCGGAGATGTCACAAAAACATTCAAAAACAGCAGTTATCACACCCCTTATCACATTTTTGCCCAGTGGAACTTGTTAATTACAGACAGATCTTAACACTGACACTGATATCTACAGTATTAGAAAATATTCTCTCATCTCCAAGTCATGCAAAGTAATTGTATGTGTGAAAAATTCAGCCAGGATTTAAGCCCTATTGCAGCACAGAAACTGACAGGGCTCACAAGTGTCAAGCATTGAGCGTGACAGTCACTCAGTTCAGTCTTTTGTCACACACTTCCACCACACATTGCATTTCCCATGCAGAAAAACTATTTATAATATACTGAATATGCTGCAGTGCCCAAATTGTCTCTGGCCGCGCCGCTTTCACTATGGAACCAGCAGGAATCAAGTGCGTCTTCTGGTCTTAAGTAGCCACAGGTAGCAACTCTAACCAATCGCATACATCCAGCCGCTGCCAATGTCAAACACAAAGTCATGATCTCCTGTTTTAACGTTACAACAAACCTACAACTTGACTGCTGTTAGAGAATCATATTTTTGTGATTATTTTTGTAATATTAATGCAGTATTTTAGTTTAATCTAGGCCTTCAGAAAAAAAATATTTTTTGAAGAAAATTAGCACCATCTGGTTACAGTATAGAGAAAACACGTAGAATCATGGTGTAACCACTTGATGGCATGTACAGCTCTCTATGGAGAGGTATGTGAATTCCCCAGCTGTTTATGAACAAATTTTGTTGTTGTTGTTGGTGGATTTGAATATATAGTTGAAACAATCTCAAAAACTATTTCTTATAAAAAAATGACAAAACAAATATTCACAATTTTTTATTTATTTATTTTTTTACAATTTCCCATTCATTTCCTATGGGGTCATTTTTGACCAAAGACCACGAGTGTGACATTTTTTTTTTTACGACCACTTAAATTGCTCACCATGGTCTCAAAACCAGCATTTACAAAATGAATTCTCTGCTCACTGTGGCTGAGCAGTTTAAAATAAGTTGTATCCAAACCACAATGCTTAAAAACGCATTTAAATGATCATGATGGTGCAGCAAAATTTAAATATTTCTACCGGAAATTTTATGGCCAGCCCTTTAGCCGAATATAGAGTTTGATCAAACACAGAAAGCAATATCATTCATCCATCAAGATAATACTTACCAAAAGTTTGTGGGGTCGATGATGACGCTGTGTTTTAAGAATAGACTACATTAGAATGAAGTGAAGAGTGAAGGCGATTTATTGGTTGATGTATATTCTAATAAGGCGCAGGCAGCCATCATCTATAGGCCTACGTGCAGCAGCAGGTCGATCGTTCACAAGTTAAATATAGAATAAATGTATTTGTTTTAACAAATTAAAACGTGACGTTTCAATTTACCATGCCCTGCCGCCCACGGGGGTTTGATTGACAGACGGCCTGGCCAATCATAACGCCGAATACGCAACTTTGTCCGACAACAAAGCCGTCAGTAGATTAACGTCGGTGGACTTGAACTTGAAAACGGTATTGTTTAAATTACTTAAATGACAATATTTGAAAAGTTGAGACTTTGTTTCATATCACCAGTAAGCTGCTATGCACTCTCTCTCGTAATCACTCGGTGTAACGTTAGTCTTTGCCCTGCGATGTATTTTTCATTGCCTGGCTCGTCACACAGTAACTAAAAAAGGCGGATCTTTGCGAACGTCTCTATAAAATTAATGAGAATGATTCCATGATAATGCATGGAATATACGGCAAAACGCCACTAAATAACAGAGCTAATTTGTGGGGTGCATTGTGTGGTAAGGCTTTGGCAATTAGATGGCTTGCAGTATCTGCTCCTCAGCCAATCACGGGCCCCCTCCTTGCTTTAGCCTAACCTAGCCCTATTGTTAATGCGGCCCTGTTTGGAGGTGCTGTGTCATATTACGCTGGTCGTATTCATGGTTCAAATCTCATCTAAAAGCGTTTTATTTAAGGATGGCTTTTAAACAACTTTGGTGTTGCTTTGTGTATTATGGATGTTTAAAAAAAATTGCAGTTGTTGTTATTTGTGAAAAGCGACACTTTTCAAACACTTTTAAAAGCGATATAAGAAAGTTGTTATTACTTCATGCCTTCTGGATTTATAAATGATTCTGCACTATAAATATACAATCAGACCACACCTGGAAATAAAGTTTTCATAAAAAAATCTTGATGGTCATTCTTGACACTTAATCGCTTAAAAATTTTGCTTAATCGTGAAGTTAAAAAGACAGTACACTGGGGGGGGGGGGGGGGGGGGGGCTTAACAGTTTAAAGGGGATGCTAAGAATAACACTTTTAATTAATTGTAATTTAGTATATTTTCTAAAAATATACTTGAAGTGAAAATTCTGTTTATTTTTTAAAGGTTTACATTTTTTTCAAACTGCAAGTTGAAAATGATCGATGCATTGAAGTATACTTTAAAAATTCATTATAGTATACAATCGCATTTTATACAAATTGTAGCAAAGTAATATTTGTTCATTATTATGCATTTGTTATTAAAGACCAAGCGTGTAATTTGGAATATACCAAAGGTATTACAAAGCATCTACTTTTTCAATTTTGCTTAACACCTTTATTAGTACCTATTAATCAATAACGGTTTATTGAAACTTGCCGAGTTGCAGTCCTACAGACATATAGCCTATAAGCGTGCGTACTACATATTTATTATGTCCATGTGCAGCCTATATTATAACAGATAATAAGTGCTTGAAAAGGGCAATAAGCTACATTAAGATATGTGCTTGTGCTTTTAAAATGCAAATAAAATGGAAAAGACTGTGGGTGTCGAGATGGGTTTTCAAAAGATGAACTTTTAAAGGGTAACTAAACACCAAAACAACTTTTTTTAGTTAATGATCTGTAAGAATGGAGCTTCATAAATGCTGTTCATTGATTCGAGTACATTTTTTGACAATTGAGTATAAAGTGTTTTGATTTTCAAATATATGGTGTAAAAACGTCTGAGTGCTGCCCTCTTCAGGTTAAACGGAAAGCTCCTGCAGTAGGGGTACTTGCTGACGTAGCGAACTCTCAGACGCACTCTGTCACACCCTTGGTGCGAGCTCACCACGCCCTTGGCAGCCCCTGGTATAAAAGCATCTGGTTCCGTCAAAACTACTGTAGCGAGTCAGGAGTTGGATTTATGAGTATTGAAAACGATCAGGATAGCATATAATAGCATCTAGTTAGCATAGCATTTATATAGTTATTTAGATTATTTTTGAAAACGACCAGGATAGAGTATTGTTGCATCTATTTAGCATAGCATTATATAGATAATTTAGATTATTTTGTGTAGCTAGTAGCATTGTACAGTTAGGATAGCTTCAAGTTAGCATAGATTTATCAGTGTTTAGTACAGTGATCAGGATAGTAACGGAGGTGGACATGGGCTTCTCCACACGCAGTGCCAAACACTGCTCGTCCTGCATGGACTCCTCCACCGCAGCGGCGTCTTGATGTGAGTGATCATGGATATTTTAATCACAATTTATGGTTAGGATAAAGTTAATCCTCTAGGGTCGACAAACGAGCCGGTGCATTTTGCTGGATTTTTTCATATAGCGGCATAATATCAATAGCGTGCGCTATTGAGATCAACTCGACGACATAACTCATCAGATGCCGGTCGCGATGCGGGAGTTAAGACCGCAGTTTGAGCCAGCAGCTCGAATGGATTTGGCCCTGTGTATACATACAATTCACCCTCATCCACTTCAGGTGAAGGTGAAGGTGAGGGAGAAAAGTCCTCGACTTCAAATGGCCGCTCTGTTGCAAAGGCAGCTATTGAGTCACTCCAGACTAGTCTCGCTCTATTTTAGAGTCTGACAGCAGCTGTCACTCACGGCGGGTCTCAGGTGCACGCCCCCTAGCCCCGCTGGGGTCTGCCCATTTTTTCAGCATTTTTCAAATATTGCTAGTGGGTGGAGTCAGGCTCTGACCAGGGGTTTAGTTACCCTTTAACTTGACAAGACATTTTAAAACATGGTGTGAGAAACTAAAAAGCAGAAGAGATGCAATAATGATCAAAGACGCTTGTTTAATGCATTAATCTATGCGTTTAGATCTAAAACAACCTTTTCTCTTTATTTTTTTTCATCACCAGGCTAGCAAGGGTGAACAAAATGCAAGAATTTATGTTAAAATCTATATTATTGGACGTTTATAGCGCGAGTGAATCTTTAAAAAGATCAGGGTAGCTACTCACCAACAGCGGACCAAGAACCAAGAGGATAATGTGTCTTATCTTCTGAAATACTCAGAGATGTGTCTTTTTCTTCATATATAATAGCGCTCCAATATTGTTAATGAGGAGCTTATGATATTTACATCTTGCAATTCTGACTTTATAACACATAATTGAGAGTTTATATCTCAAAATTCTGCAAACTTTTCTCAGGTCATCAGGTCAATTCTAAGAAAAAAAAAAACTTTTCCCCCTCAGAATAGTTTATCTCACAATTCAGACTTTACAACACGCAATTTCAACTTTATATTATACATTTCTGACTTTACAATATCACGCAATTCTGACTTTTTAAACACGCAATCTTGACTTTACATCTTGCAATTCTGACTTTATATCTCAGAATTGTGAGATGTAAACTCAAGATTGTGAGAAAAAAAAGTTAAACTCTTGCTATTTTTCATTATGTGGTGGAATCAAGCTTCCATAAAGCATTGACTTCTCCAGTCTGAAAAATAAACTTTAACCCATAAAGTTTCTTAAATTTGTGCATAAGAAACACAATTTATGTGATAGTTTGACCAATTTAGTTGCCGATGTGAAATGTTAGTTTATTGTGAATTCAGTATGCAGTTTTTGAGATTTCAGGATTCCCCAATTCAAATAAACAAGACGGTCTCGAATGCCTGAAATAGGCGGAGGTGTGGCAAAAAAGCAGAGTAAACAGACTTTCCTTGAAAGGGACTTCGGTATAGGGTTAATTATTACTTCTTAGGCTACATTCATATTTTTTTCTAATATATTGTGTATCATAACAACGGATGACCAACTTTGACCGACAAATAAAACCACTTTCATTGGGACATGAGATTCTTCATAAATAATATCATTAATTTCTGTAGATGGACATTTTAAGAAGCATCAAATGAGTTCTGCTTTGATAATGAAACCAACCTGTTTGTTCCTCAGTTTCTTCTTGTTTCACACTGAATGTTTCTTCAATCTTCACGTCTCCACTCTCCTCTTTAATGAACGCCATCTTTATAACAGTGTCACAGTTGCTTCTCCAGGAGTTTTTCCTCTGTTTCGACACTCTGTCATGTTAAAGAGGAGAATAATTAGCAGAATGAAAAATAAATCCAAACTAATGGTGCTTTTCCACTGCTGGTTTGGGTCGGTATGGTTCTGCGCGGCACGCTTCGCTTTTCCACTGCGTGCTATGACTCAGTACGGCACGGTTCGCTTTAGATCGGTTGCTTTTCAACTGCAGTTAGTACTGTTTTAAAGTGGGTGGGATTAGTTTAAAAGCAGTCGCTACAGCTGTTACTGGGTATTTAAATCTAACGGGTTTGGTTTCTTGCGTCACAAATACAATGACGCTGGTAGTGCCGATTCTGTGTGATCAATCATTGATCTGCAGTGTTTCACATCACATTTTAGTACTGGTACAGTACGCTTGGAACCGCAACAGACCAGGTACCACTACCATTTAAAACGAGCCGAAGCAAGCCGTACCGTGCAGTGGAAATGTGCCATAAGTGAGCCGAGTTGAACCACACAGTGCAAATGTGCCAAAGCGTGCCGTTCCGTACCATGCAGTGGAAAAGCGCCATAAATCTCTGTGTGCGTCTCAATCAGATCAATCATGTCATTTAAAACCATTCCCTTTCACTGTCTCCATTACCAGTGAACTGACTATAGCCCCTTTTCCACCAAAACATTTTGAGAGCCATTTTGTGTTTCAACAGCCAAAGAACCGGTTCTCGGCCAGGAGAACTGGTTCCAAAGCGGCACCAACTCTTTGCTGGACTAGAACCGTTCTTTTACCACGTCATGCTTACACCGGGGGCGGGTTTAGACGTGTTCTAAACATCTTTTCTGACCTTAATAAAGGATCGCAAAGCCAAGAGAAACATTTGCAGAGAGTCCGCCTTTGTAATTGTTATGTATATTAGGGAATAGTTCACTGGTAATGGAGACAGTGATAGGGAATGGTTTTAAATGACATGATTAGCCAAAACAAGCTCAACCCTAGCACAAGTTTTTTTTTTTTTTAAACACAAACTTTGCAGACGCTTTACATTTATTTGTATTTAAAGATTTGTAGATTTTATAAAACAGACAAACAACTAGCACTACAAACTTGTAATAAAAAACATGAATTATACAGACACCTAAAATGTAGTTGTATTTAATAATTTCAATTGATTAATTAATTTAAAAAAATTGTTACTTGTTAATTAAAGTTGTCAGCATGTTCCCGTTGCATTTGTACTGCATTTATACCAGTCTACATCTCCAGCATGTGATGATTCAAGCAGTTGAAATCACTGAATCGTTTTGCAGAGACTTATTTGGTTCATTTGACGTGGAGTTTTTAAAAGTTGTTTCTTTATTGGTAATTGCCAGTTCCCAAATTCGTGTTTACGATAAACTGATTCATGAGCAACAAAATTAGCTCACCTTTACTTTTAGCGTTGCTCATATGTGGATGTTACTGACAAACAAAACGTTCATTAATGTTAGACAAGCAATGCAATATTACGTTAAATAGAAATACACAGATTTTTGATCGTTAATAAAAGCTATACATTTGATTGAACGATTAGTATAGATTTAAACGCTTTACGTGCTTAAAAAACACAAACCTTTCTTCAACCAGATTCCCAACAGACGCGTAGAAGGAAAAGACGCAGCCGTATGACGTCACACCACATACCAAAATAAAAGTCCTTCTTTAAAGTTTAATGGCAGCTGGCAAATAGAGACGTTAAATTTATATGTGTATAATAAAGTAACAATTGTATCCCTAACTCTTAAATCTTGTTTCTAAATGCATATCTTTTAACTATTTAAACAGTATGTTAAACACCCTTGAATCTTTATTTAACTAAATCTGCAGTGACTACAGCTTAGTGCTTCTATAAGTTGTTATATTTAATTCTCCTAACTTTTAAATCTTGCTTCTTAATGTGTATCTTTTAACTATTTAAACAGTATGTTAAACACCCTTGAATCTTTATTTAACTAAATCTGCAGTGACATCTGAGTAATATAGCTCTCAGTGCAGATTTTTGTTAATTCTCATTACATCCACACTTAGAGAAACAACTGTTTCAAGTTGATCAAATCTGGCATAATACTGATTCATGTTTTCCAATGTTATTAAATGACTGACTGAAGAATGTCCAGTTCTGATATTTATGCTATCTTTACTTTATCGCCAAAATGTATTTTGTTTGCACATCCTTGTACAAGTTCTGTATTAAATTACAATTACAAATTACAATCTACAATAGCATTGCAAACGACAACAACAGAAAATCAACACAAACATTTGCTTTTTAACATAGTTTATTAAACAAAGAGGAGTATTTTATTATCACAATAGAGTGCTGAAGTTACGACGTCACTCTGTAGGCCAAAACGCGGAAGTGAGTTAGCATTTTAGCACTACGGTTCCCTCGCTCTAAAGCCTATGGGATTTTTGAATGGGTTTTTGCTAAATTGCCTGAAATAAGGTCTGTGGTGAACAAATAAGCCTCTAAATATTTTCACGTTTTGATCTATGACATAGAACACACAGTTATAACCTGCTAGTGGTTTTTTAAACTTTAATTGTGTCTGATTGTGTTTTTTAAAATTTTTATATAGGCTTCAAAATGTATACATTTTGGATTAACTTGTAAAGATTATCTTGCTAGACAAAACGTGTAAGGGTCACAACCCTTTGTTAAACACAGATCTTTATTTTTTATTTTAAACACAGACCTCACAGATCTTACAGATCTTATACTATCAGATGCCAATAGAAAAACAATCACAAATTAATAAAACATCTTCATTAGTTTCACAACACGTGTGTGCTCCAAATACTCACAACACAACCAAATACAGAAACGCTCTGCAAATACCACAGAACACAATGGAACAAATTTTATTTGAGCTCTTTAATGGTCTAGTGCAGTGGTTCTCAAACTTTTTACACCAAGTACCACCTCAGAAAATATTTGGTTCTAAGTACCACCATAAGACCAACATTAAAATACAGTAGTAGTAGGCCTAGCTATTCAGCTACAGTTATGCACAGGCAGGCTCAAAAACCAGTAATTGTCAGCCACTTAACACTGTGCCAACAGTTTTAAAATCAACACTGCACTGTGTTGATAACATAGAGGTTAATAAAATAAAAATCAAATAATGAATTAGTTCAAATGTATTGCACTTAAAAGTACATGTTGCTACTAACATGAGCTTAATGTGATGGGTGTGCATGCCTCTGTGAACACGGTCCTGAGATTTCTGGGTCAATGGAGTCAAGTCAAGTCAATTCACATTTATTTATATAGCGCTTTTCACAATACAGATTGCATCAAAGCAGCTTCACAGTGATAACATGAAAGTAGTACAACACAGATCAATAATATTGTTAAATATTAAATAACCCCAACTAAGCAAGCCAAAAGCAAGTCAAAAGCAAGGCGACAGTGGCAAGGAACCAAACCTCCATCAGATTGGATGGAGAAAAAACCTTGGGAGAACCCAGGCTCAGTCAGGGGCCAGTTCTCCTCTGGCTTACATTCATATTGTTTATATATAAATATTAAATATAAATATTGTTCATGTATAAAGCGGCGCCATAACATATCGCCAGCGTTGAGTCGTCTCTTCACAGGCGCTGGTCTTCTCATCACAGGCATTGGGGCATCCGAAATCGCCGTGAGGGGCTGGATACAAAACTGGACCTGACGAACGTCATTTTTCTCAGGACAAGCATCCCGAGATAACAGCAGAAAGGCAGATGGGAAATAATTAGCATAGCTGATGTTCATAATGATTTCCATTATACGGGAGTCGGTGATAGAAAACCACCATCTCACAAACTCTCCGTAACCTGAACTCTCCGCAACCCAACCATACGCGCCTTTGTCTAAAAGGCTGTCGAGCCCCACAGGTGCGTTAAGCAGTTTCAGTGGCACTAAAAGGTAAGCATTATGTGAATGCTTGACTAAAGAGATGAGTCTTTAATCTAGTTTTAAACTGTGTCAGCGAGTCAGAGCCTCGGACCGTATCGGGAAGGCTATTCCAGAGTTTTGGAGCTAAATGCGAGAACGCCCTCCCTCCTTTAGTGGACTTAGATATCCTAGGAATGACCAGAAGCCTGGAATTTAGTGATCTTAAGGAACGCGGTGGATTGTAGGGCGAAAGAAGGTCCATTAAGTACATAGGAGCTAAACCATTTAGGGCTTTATAGGTCAGTAGTAGTATTTTGTAGTATTTATACGGAACTTAATAGGTAACCAGTGTAGAGATGATAAAATCGGTGTTATATGATCATATTTTCTTGACCTAGTAAGAACTCTAGCGGCTGCATTTTGTACTAACTGTAGCTTGTTTATTGAGGATGCAGGACAACCGGCTAATAAAGCATTACAGTAATCTAGTCTCGAGGTCATGAATGCGTGAACTAATTTTTCTGCATCAGAAATAGATAGCATGTTACGCAGCTTAGCAATGTTTCTAAGGTGGAAAAAGGCTGTTCTTGTAACATATGAAATATGATCTTCGAAAGACAAGTTGCGGTCTAGTATAACACCCAGGTCTTTTACTGTAGTGGATAAAGTAACAGGACATCCGTCTATATTAAAGTTGTATTGTAAGAGGTTTTGTGAGTAGTTTTTTGGACCAATAAGCAATACCTCCATTTTATCTGAATTTAATAGCAGGAAATTACGTGTCATCCAGCATTTTATATCTTTGAGACACTCTGTCATTTTAGATGAGTTAGTTTTTTCATCTGGTTGTGATGAAATATATAATTGAGTGTCGTCAGTGTAACAGTGGAAATTAATTCCATGTTTTCTTATAATATGACCAAGTGGCAGCATACACGTATATTGAGAATAGCAGAGGGCCTAAAACCGATCCTTGCGGTACTCCATAGTCTACTGACGTTATCTTTGATTTTTTCCCATTTAAACAGACAAAATGATAACGGTCCGATAAGTACGATCTAAACCAGCTTAATGCCTGTCCCTGAACACCAGTGTAGTTTTGTAGTCGATCCAAGAGTATTTTAAGATCTATAGTGTCGAACGCAGCGCTAAGATCAAGTAGGACTAGTATTGAGATACAGCCTTGGTCAGAAGCTAAAAGTAAATCATTTGTAATTTTAACTAGCGCAGTTTCTGTACTATGATGCGGTCTGAATCCTGACTGGAATTTTTCATAGATATCATTTTCTTGCAAAAAAGAGCACAATTGAGCGGACACTACTTTTTCTAGTATTTTGGACATAAATGGAAGTTATTTGGATCTAATTGCGGTTTCTTAATGAGAGGTTTTTATTACTGCCAGCTTGAATATTTTTGGAACATGACCTAAAGATAAAGTTAATTTAAATTAATAATATTGAGGAGAGGCTCTTCCACTACAGGTAATAGTTCTTTCAGTAGTTTAGTGGGTATTGGATCTAATAAACATGTTGTTTAGATGCAATGATACGTTTATTTAGCTCCTCCTGTCCTATCGTTGTAAAGCGGTGTAGTTGTTCTAGAGGGGCCATAATTGAAGCTGAATCATAAGACACCATAGCGGATTGTACATTTATAATTGTGTTTTGGATGCTTTCTATTTTTTCATTGAAGTAATTCATAAAATCATTACTACTAAACTGTAACGGTATATTTTGCTCTGGTGATGTCTGTTTATTTGTTAGTCTAGCCACGGTGTTAAATAAAAACCTTGGATTATTTTGGTTATTTTCGATTAGTTTGCGGAGATGATCAGCCCTGGCTGTTTTTAGGGCCTTTTTATAACGTGACATACTGTCTTTCCACGCGATTCTAAAGACCTCTAAATTAGTTGGTTTCCATTTACGCTCTTAAGTTGCGAGTTTCTCTCTTGATAGCATGCGTAGCATTGTTGTACCATGGTGCTTTAGTTTTCTCTCTAACCTTTTTTAATCTAATTGGTGCAACAATATCTAATGTACTAGTGAAAATGGTGCTTAAACTGCTAGTCATTTCCTCTAATTCATCTGTTTGTTTGGGTTCACTTAGCAGCTTAGATAGATCAGGTAAGCTATTTGAGAATCTATCTATAGTGGTTGGAAGGATTGTTCTGCCTGGTCTATAACGTGGTGCAACATGACATATTTCAGCAGTACGTATTATGCAAGTCACCATGTAATGATCAGTGACATCATCGCTTTGCGGTATAATATCTATATCAGTTGGAATGGTTCCATGTGATATAATTAAATCTAGTGTACAAAGTATGATTTAGACGATGAGTGGGACCACTGACGTTTTGTTTGACCCCAAAGGAGTTCAAAAAGTCTGTAAACGCAGCCCCTAAAGCATCATTTGTATTATCTACGTGTATGTTAAAATCTCCAGCAATTATTGCTTTATCGACATTCACCAATCGATCCGAGAGAAAGTCTGCAAACTCTTTTAGGAATTCAGCATATGGCCCTGGAGGTCTATATACAGTAGCCAGGGCTAGAGATAATATGGATTTCCTTCTTACATCTAAGAGCGTAACATTTAGCACAAGTACTTCAAATGAAGTACTTGTGACCTTTTTTCTGAGTAATATTAAAAATATCTTTATAGATTGTTGCAACACCGCCGCCACGACCGATCAGGCAAGGCTCATGATTATAATAGTATCCTGGCGGAGTAGATTCGTTTAGACCGAAATACTAATTTGGTTTAAGCCAGGTTTCAGTAAGGCACAGAACATCAAAGTTATTATCCGTGACCATTTCATTTACAATAACCGCCTTAGGTGTGAGCGATCTAATGTTTAGAAGACCTAGCTTTAGAAATTGTTTTTGTTCACTGATATTTAGATTTTCTAGTTTAATTACAATAAGATTTTTGCTAGATCCTGCACTAGATTTATTGTTTGGCTTCACTAAACGAGGAATAGACACGGTTTCTATATAATGTTCCACACTATGCATATTACTTAAGTTTGGACCGCAAAGGCTGTGATTTGGACTTTGACTTACTAGTCATCTGGTGCGTAACGTCTTGGAGATGTTGTCCGACAGCACAGCCGCTCCGATTCGGCTGGGATGGAGTCCATCTGCACGGTACAGTCTGGGTCTCTCCCAAAACAGATGCCAATTATTTACAAAGAGCAGTTTCTGTTCATTACACAATGACATTAACCATTCATTTAATGCAAATAGTCTACTGAACCTTTCCTGTCCTTGTCTGTACGTGGTCCAGACGGTCCAAGCGGTCCAGAGAGAGGCAGCTCTGGTCCTGGCTCGTGTCTTCCGCTGTGTTATCCATGGTCCATGTTGCTGTTTCAGTGCCGGAGTGAATAAAGCCCGAGATGATCGCGTCCTCCTGGGCAGAGGAACACACGGAGTGGACGAAGTGGGACTCAAAGAGTTACCGTTACTAACCACTGATTTGTGAGCGTCGGCGCGTGATGCTTCAAGCGTTGAGCGCCGATCCAACAGCTCGGCTTGCTTCACCAGCAGACCACGGATCTGTTTGTCGACGTATTCCAGCTCCTGCTTCACCGTGAAGAGCTCGAACGTGTCCTCACCTGCACTCAGAGGTAATGTTAGACACGCATCTGATATGTTCGCCATTATAACAGATAAACAGTAAATTAGTAGTGATACTACAACTATCACCACTAATTTAGGACTTATTAGTAGTGATACTACAACTATCACTACTAATTTAGGACGGAAATGCCGGAAATAACCAGGATTCAGTGAAAGGGGTATAAAATGAGACGACCAGTAGGCGAGAGGGCACGCGTGGAATGTTAGCGGGCTAAAGGCTAGTAGCCGGGATTCGGAAGGTCGGATATAAGTAGCAATATCAAAGCAATCCAATTGTTTTTTATAAGGAATATTATCAAGGATAAGTTCACATGATATAAAAATAGAAAATGCTTGTTTATAAATGAGTGGTAAAGAAGAAAATCAAGGATAATCAGAGGAAAATCAAGGATCAAAGAAGAAACTCAAGTCCAACCTGAAAGAGGGTGTCAGCAAGCTGGATCCAGTGCCGGCGCTATGGGGGGGCATTAGGGGGCAATGCCCCCCCAAATGTATTTTGTGCCCCCCCAAATTGAATTATGATATAATTTACAAAATAATATCAGTTTAATTTAATTCACATTTCAGTGAGAAATAGTACAAATATATGTCTACAAACGGCTCATTAGCTGAAAATACAATAAAGCCAACATAAAAACCAGTGTAACGCTGTGAGGAAACCCCCCTGCCGCCCCCCCAATCACGCACGTTAATACTTGAATGAAATGATTTTCAGTTGGCGCGACCGCGCGCGAGCTTCCTGCATTCAAAACAAAGCAAACAGATGAAAACTCTCCAAAAATGGAAATAAGAAAATGGTTCAATACCACAATTTCTCCTTACACATCGATTACCCCATACAGCAAGACAACGACAGCCCGGCTTTGGTATTTGGTGCTTCTACCGTGCAGTGTTGTAGTCGAGACCGAGACCAAAGACAGTCGAGTCAGAGTCGTAAGTGTATTTATCTAACTCGCATGTACTGTAATGTTCACTATGTGCTGTCACGTGATGAAACTAATAGTTTAGTTGGCCTAGTTTTTGCGCTGCCCATTGTCCTGAAATGTCACTCACTCCCGCCGTGGAGAAACAGGTGTTTAAGCCTATATATTTTCTTGTAAATAGAAATTGTAGAATAATATCTGTGTATGTTGTGGGTGTTTTTTATTTGTTAAAGGTTTTAAAGGTTTTATTTGATAAAGGTAACTACATGATGCTTTTTTAAGGCTACGAATGTAAATGCTTATGTTAGAACATAGCAGAATAAAGATGAGTAACTTAGCTTTTTTTTTCTCACTTCCGCCATTGAGATAGTATATAAACGGCTATTCTGTCAGTGAGAGACTATGTACATGTTCGTTAGCTTTGCTATTATAAAGCTGTGGTCAGAGTCGGTCTTGCAATTATTTTTTTTTTGTATAGGCCTATTTAACCCTTGATCAAATTTCTTAAGAGTCGCTCGTCTTGCAACAATGTGTATGTTTTATGTGTTTATTGTGTGGGTTGCATTACTTCATGTTAATAGCTAACAGAAAAGGCAGTAGCAATAATAAATATAGGATATCTAATATCGGAAAAAAAAGTCCCCATACCTACCTAGTGCCCACCCATTGAAAATAAATGCCCCCCTGCTAAAAGCGGTCTGAAGCCGGCTCTGGCTGGATCCCTATGCTGATTGTCGGCAGGCTCTCGACCCAAGGATACTTCAAGCTTTACAAGGTAAATAGTTTTCAGAGCTGGTGCTTTCCAGTTTTGATGGCATCTTTGGCAGACGGGGGTAGAGGAGGGTCGATATTTTCATGAACAAGAGGGGCAGCAGGAGGAGTGAGGAGGGGGAGAGTAATCTTTGTTGTTCTGTTCCACAGATGCTGTTGTAAACCAGTTTCCGACGACCAAAAAAGCTGATGTCAGAAAATCCATCAACAGTAGAATATGCGAGCCAAGACACCAGGTGAAGCGCAAAAGCACGGTAATATCACCAGATCTCAACCCAATAGAGCATGTTTGGGATGTGGTGGAACTGGAGCTTTGAGTCCTGGATGTGCATCCCACAAATCTCCATCAACTGCAAGATGCTATCCTATCAATATGGGCCAACATTTCTAAAGAATGTTTTCAGCACCTTGTTGAATCAATGCCACGTAGAATTAAGGCAGTTCTGAAGGCAAAATGGGGTCAACCACAGTATTAGTATGGTGTTCCTAATAAAACTTTAGGTGAGTGTATGTAGCCTATGAAATAAAAGTAGATTTTTTATCAGATTTTATTATTTTATTTTATTTATTATATAATATAAATCACCCACCTCAGATAAATTGCCAGACGCTTTGTTGAAAAAATGGACTCTCGGTATGGTATCCTTCTAGGTCCGACTCTGCCCAGCAAACTGTCAAACTGCTCCCTATTGAGCCGAAAGTACACCTGGAACCGATCGCTGTGGAAACGGACCTCCTTTGCAAGCCTAATGCAAATGTGCAAATTCAGGAAGGACGAGGATCAGGTCTTGCTAGTTGTGCCCTATTGGCCCAACTGGACCTGGTTCCCAGAACTCATGCTCAACACGACAACCCCTACCTAGCGCATTCCTTCTGAGGAGGGATCTACTTTCTGGTCCCTGGAAGGGATGGCAAGGTGACTTACTTAAAGCACTTCAGAGTGCCCCATTCAACTCTTTGCAGTCAGTATAGGTTTGAAGATTCTGTCTATGAAGACTTTACAAGTTACTAGTAACACTGATTGACAAGAATCTCTCTGAAATACTCAGTTTCTCATATCATTGAGACTTCTAACCTGACTGAATCACTCTCTCAGAGCCTGAGACAAGATGATTATTTCCCTGTTTTGATTTCATTAAAATTTCATTTCAGTTATTTACCCTTTACAGTTAGCAATGTGCACAAAAACATACTCCTGAATTTGTTCAAGTATTTTCCCATAAAGTGAAAGACATCTCTAGTGTTTTAGCAAGCTTTAACATATTAACCCTTCAAGAAGTCCCCTCTCCTTGTACATCACCTCATAACATGGGTAACATCTGTTTTTAACCCTCTTTACTTTTTTATCATTCTCAGAGTAACTTTTACTAGATTTCCCTCGTGAGGCCCTTCTGGCACAGAGCTCTTAGATATAAATTAGGAAATTCATCATCATCATTTAGTCTGATCATTTGATAACCAACTAAGTTGGACACAGTAGTTTGGATTATTAAAAAAAAATAAGAATAACACACAATCATAACCCCCAAATATTCAACCTTTTTCATTAACTCTGTAATCCATGCCCAGCTCCTTTTATCCTCTCCTTTTTCCTAACCATATTTTGTTAGCTTTGAAAGCAATAGTAGTACCTACAGCCTACATCATTAATTAATCGATTTTTCTCTTTTTGATTTACATATATCTGAAATATTTTCAAATGAACCAGTAACTAATCAGAGCATGAGATCTATATCAATACTCAGCCCTAGTTTGATCCAATCAAATAAAATCAATCAAAATTATCACACAAATGGATTCTTGATCTAAACTTAAACCATTAGTTGGTCCACCTCTTCCTCCAGGTGGGTTTTCCCTTCAAATCACAACCGCACCCCCACTGGACCTTATTGGTGAAGTAAATCATTTCCAAGCTGTGAATGGAGACCTTAAGTACGGCTGTGAAACTACGGGCCATCAGAAATTCGCTGAGGACTTTAGGGAAGGGAACCAGTCTTTAGAAACCTGGATGATCAGCCTCAAACGTTCTCTGGTCCAGACAAATCACACGCGGAATCCCCCTTCTGACACCATTTGTTATAGAAACATTTACATTCAGTTATTTTTGGGGAGTATGCAATAAACCAGGTAGACCAAACAGTGTCTCTCTTGAGTTTTATTCTTGCAAGAAGGCCATTCACATACAGTTTTCTGCCGTGAAGAGACAACCTCGCCTAGTTCGGGGTGTTTTTACGACCACACACTTTTACATATTTATAAATAGAAAAGTTTTCAAAGCGTCCAAAATCTCTAGCTCCTGCAAAAGGTAGTTTCAAGGATGTGCACCTGTTGTTGTAACTTCTTATCACAGCCAGCCAGTAAATTTCCACATAAGCAGACTCCAAACAGAGACACAAATCAAATAAAGTACAAAACAAAAATAAATGCTTAGAAATAAGTTTTCCACTACACCTGTACAGTAGAAAGGCAATAAAATTTAAATAATTGCTACCTGACTAGAAAAAACAAGGAAAAAGGCTTTGCCAAATAGGTGTGAAAACTTCAATACTAGAATGCAATGAGCATGTTGCCGTACAAGGCAACTCCCACCAGTCTGCCATGGATGCACTTACCAGAGTCAAATAGCTTCTTGCTTTAGTAGGAAATGCTTCTTAGCAAATGCTTAGTCATAATTGTTAACACTTTTTGTTCCCGGGTGCAAGAATTCAAGCAAGTGAGTGAGTTACTTGAGGTTTCCAGTGAAGCATCCAGTGCGTTGTAGGCAGTGGCTAAAGGCTGCAAAGTGTTGAAAACATGGAGAGAAAATTCTAAAACTATGTGTTTGCAGTCAACAATTCAAAACGAATGTCCACCGGATGACAGTTTTAGGCCAAACGGAAAGAAACTGCCATTCTGCCAGTTCTCCCGAGGTAAAATGCTGTCATGTACAGGTAAGAAAGCTGTTGCCATAGTGTTCCATTTTTACCATAATGATGTTTAAAGAGTAGACATGGAACAGTAATTTAAGGGTAGGATATTCACTAAAACTTGTATTTTACTGTTAACAACCTTCTGTTGATTTGACAGGCCATGGGTGGGGATAAAAGAATGTGCAAGTATAATCTAGTTTTCACAAAAGCTCAAACTTTTGTTGACAAATAAATGTGAATTTCTCAGTTCAGTTAATACAGTGAACAGGTAAACATTTTCTGTTAACAAGTACTACCAATATTGTAACAACACAAAGGGGGTTGAAAACTGGCAAAGTGACACTTCTCATCTTAACAGCTTTTCATCAGTGACTGTTCATTTGATACTCAAGTTTTAGTTCTGCAGTGACACTTTTTCCACACAGTCAAATCGCCTTTATATAGCACTTTATACAATACAGACTGTTTCAAAGCAGATTTACATCGATAACAGGAAAATTATGCAGGTATAACGCTTCTCTACAGTGTGAATTCTCATGTGTTTTAAGGTTTCCTTTTTGATTGAAACTCTTTCCACATTTTCGGCAGGTGAAAGAGCTCTCTCCCGTGTGAATAGCCAAGTGCCTGTTGAGGGTTCCTTTTTGAGTAAAACACTTTCCACACTGATGGCACGTGTAAGAGCTCTCTCCAGTGTGGATTCCCATGTGGATTTTAAGGTTACATTTTTGTGAGAAGCTCTTTCCACACAGTTGGCAGGTGAAAGGCTTCTCTCCAGTGTGATTTCTCATGTGGGAATCAAGGGATTTTTTATATGTGAAACTTTGTCCACACTGAGGGCATGTGTAAAGCTTCTCTCCAGTGTGAAGTCTCATGTGGAGTTTTAGGTTTCCTTTTTGAGTGAAGCTTTTTCCACACTGTTGGCAAGTGTAAGAGCTCTCCCCCGTGTGTATTCCCATGTGGATTTTAAGATTTCCTTTTTGAGTGAAACTCTTTCCACACTGTTGGCAAGTGTAAGAGCTTGCTCCAGTGTGAAGTCTCATGTGGATTTTAAGGTTTCCTTTTTGAGTGAAGCTCTTTCCACACTGTTGGCAGGTAAAAGAGCTCTCTCCAGTGTGAACTCTCATGTGCCTGTTAAGGGTTCCTTTTTGAGTGAAGCTCTTTCCACACTGTTGGCACGTGTAAGAGCTCTCTCCAGTGTGGATTACCATGTGGATTTTAAGGTTTCCTTTTTGAGTGAAGCTCTTTCCACACAGTTGGCAGGTGAAAGGGTTCTCTCCAGTGTGATTTCTCATGTGGGCATCAAGGGATTTTTTATATGTGAAACTCTTTCCACACTGAGTGCATGTGTAAGGCTTCTCTCCAGTGTGGAGTCTCATGTGGATTTTAAGGTTTCCTTTTTCAGGGAAACTCTTTCCACACTGATGACATACAAAACAGTTCTCTCTCGAGTGAATCTTCATGTGGTTTTTAAAGTGTACTTTTCGTGTGAATCTCTTTCCACACTGATCACATCTGAATGGCTTTACTCCATTATGACTGTTCATGTGATACTTAAGGTTTAGTGCTGCCGTGAAACTCTTCCCACACAGTCTGCAAGTATAAGGCTTCTCTCCACTGTGAATTCTCATGTGTTTCTTAAGGTTTCCTTTTTGCACGAAACTCGTTCCACACTGAAAGCAGGTGAAACAACTTCCAGTTAATGTCTTCATGTCTTCAGCTTGTTTTTGCAAGGAAGTCGTCTTGTCAGTCTGTGAGCTACTTAATGATTTTTCTGAAGTTAAAGCATTATGTTTCTGGAACGGATCTTTCTCTTCTATTTCATTCAGGTCTCCACACTCCTCTTTCAGTGGCACCATGTCTAAGCGAAAAAGAGAAAAATAGAAGTAAACTCCAGTTTAATGGCACAAAGCAACAAACATTTAGACATATATGGGATCAAATCCAACAAAAAAAGCATCAAAACCAAAAACGTGCATGGATAGATCCCATAACTACTAAGAAATTGAAAGAATCGTTTCTCTGCTCCTCTTGTCAATTACTAACTTTGGTCTAGTAACTCTGGGTATTAATAGTTACAATTAACTTGACTTACTTACAAAGTTACTTATAGTCAGTAAAATGTTTGAGGTACCATAAAAATAAAGGGTTGGCCGATATTAAGGAGACAGTCTACTAATACTCTAATAAGAATTAGTGAACACATAGGTGCAATGTTACTTATAGTCAACAGAATGTTCAAAGGGGACCATCAAAATAAAGTGTAAAACACACACACGTCTCTAGGGGAACTGATTAATTAAAGACCAATCTCATATATGACATTCATGTCAACAAATGTCAATTACATCATCAACACAGACCACAACATTCTCTTGGACAGCTTGAGAATTATGTTGACGTATGTGGACAAGCATCAGCATGGTTCAGGTCCCATCTATCCAACCACAACAACTTAGCTTCTGTAAATGTAGAGATTCCTCAAACAAAAGTATTGGTGTCCCACATGACTACGTATTAGGCTCTCTTTTTTCCTTGTATGTTTCCTCTGAGCGACATTATTAGACTTCACCATGTTGAGCAGATGGTACTCAGTTTTATACTTCCTGAGTTATATAAAACCCGGCAAAACATAACTGTAGCAGAGTGTATTAAAGTAACACTGTAGTTTTTGAACCTTCATTATACATTTCCAAGACCCCTGTGATGGTACATCGACTTACAAAAGGTTAAATGACACGTCTGCCATATCCTGACGTGGTCTGTATCGCTTTTACTTGCACTATGAAAGTACGGGTTTCGGGTAGTAACCGGCTCACGAAAAGAACTACAAAATTGACTGCTTTACAGCATACGCCATTTTTTTTACGTCACCTCAGACTTTGTCTGAGGCCATTGTTTATTCCAAAGCTGATGCTGGATAAACAGCGTGCGCATGCGACAGTAGGCTGCGGTAGGCTAAATTATTTACGACAGTGGTAATAGACAATTCCGCTTCCAACCTGTAGGGCGACCGCAGAGGAAAAGTTCCATGGTGTTGCTTTAATGTTATAAAAGATGGGCAAATTTATTTCTTTTATTAAATTCTGGCAAAAGAGAATCATTAGTTATTGGATCAAAAACATTTGCACAAAATATTCTAGATTTTGATGGATTCACTCTTATGTGGTTTTCTAGAGTTAAGAACCCAAGTTTTGTGTTCACAGTAATTTGTCCTCTGATTTCTAACATTTGTTGAACAGTCTTCTTCCATCTTAAAAAAAAGTTGCAGGGTCAATAAATGATCTCAAATTTGAGTGTTAACATGCTGTTTCCGCTCTATACTGTTCATTACAGCATAAAGCACTTCTACGCGGTTGAATACGGCACGGGGTGCCTGTGGGTAGAGCAGTTCATGTGCAGGTGACAGTAGTTGTGTGGAAACTGAATAAAGTTGAGCTATAAATGTCGTGTTTATTTTGAGTAACATGGCAAAGAATGGCAGCTAGTTATAAAGTTCCGCCGAAGTTTGATGACGCCAGGCCATTCGAGTGTTGGAAGAATTAAGTTAATATCTGGATGCGGGTTAACGATCTCGATAAAAAGAAGCAAGCCCTAGCTGTCGCCATAAGGGTTGAAGGGAGAGCCCGTGAAACGGCAATGGAAATACCTGTGGAAGATTTGGACTGTGATAACGGCATGGCAATGTTGATGGCAAAGCTGGATGGCGTGTTCCTTAGAGGAAAAAGATCAAAATAACATGGAAGACTATATAATTGACTCCGAACAGCGATACAACCAGATGAGAAGGTATAGTATGAAGCTTTGTGATGCTGTACTGGCTTTTAAGCTGTTAGACATGACTGCCTGCACCGAGTTCTCCTCCATGTCCCCCCTCCAAAAGGATTTTCAGGGGCAGGCTCATCGAATGCAATTCAAGCTAACCGGGATGTGGCGTTTTTCACAGAACAAAGACAACAATGCAAAGGAAAACAGAGTATAAACTAAATCAGCCAGTACCAAGGACTATATCCACTGGATAAGTTTGTTAAGAGATCCAGATGTGCTATTTGCCAGTGTACATTTCACTGTCCCCACAAGAAAACTCAACTAGTAAAAGTAATGTTGTAAATGTAGACTAATGTAACATTACATTGAACAATGCAGAGAAATGTTACATTACATTGTTTACAAAGGCTGAATATTTATGACTGAATCATTGGGATCAGCAATTATTGAAACTGCTTAGTACCTAGGCCTGTCGCGATAGTCAATAAATCAATTAATCATATGATAAAAAAAGATATCGATAATTTTTCCAGCCGTGATAATTTCCATTTGCATGCTTGTTTGTTTTCCTCGTGTGTCTCTCTCTCTCTCTCTCTCTCTCTAAGAGACAGGATGACAACAAGGCACTCTAAAATTCGAGCATATCACTCCAATATTATAACAACCTACACTGGTTGCCAGTTTCATACAGGATTAATTTTAAGATACTTATATATGTTTTTAAAGCACTACATGGCATTGCCCCGGCATATATAGCTTATCTAATCCAGGTGAATAAACCAAAAAGAGCATTGCGCTCGGAATCAACAAATCTCCTGGTAGTCCCGCGCAGTATAGGAAAATGAGACGAGACCGCTTCTTTGCAGGCCGTGGAATAGTCTACCCCATTATATTAGGGAATGTCCCTCTATTACTGAGTTTAAAGGAAAATTTAAAAACTTACTTCTTAACTTTGGCGTTTGATTATTCATGAGTGCTGTGCTGGTGTAATAGGTTATTATTAACGCCGCTTAGATGTTGAGGTGTCCATGGCAATGCTTAGAAAAGTTAAGTGAAGTAAAGCCTTACAATTTAACTGTGATTTTATTCTATGGACAGCACTGTGGTCAACTTTTGTTGTATTATTATGGGCTTTATAAATAAATTGGACCATGAACAACTCTTATTAGTTGCATGGTCTTTTGTGTGGGGAGGCGGCGCTTAGTCACATGGTCTTTTGTGTGGGAAGGCAGGAGTGTTTGTTTGAAGGGACTTCCGGGAAGGAATGCACCTGCCACCCATCTGTTATTTTTATTATGATTTTTTTTTTTAAATAGGAATGCTTAATGACATGTTTCTTTTTTCAAGAAGAGTATTTGAGACAGTTTAAAATGTGAATGCAGACAAAATTAAAGCATATTTAGAGGCATAACCAGTAGGGCTGGGGTAAACGATTATTAACTAAACGATTAGTTGGGCGATTATTTTATCGATTAGTCGACTAATCGGACGACTAATATAAAGAATATTTCTTCAAGCCGAATCTGCCCGAGCTTGTACGTCTCACCACACCGGCACCCAGTTTGCGCATCTAAATTGAAATTTTTTTTCTTAAGGGTTTGTTTACTGTGTGTGATTCATTTAATGGATAGCACATTCACTTCTAGTTGTCTTCGTCCTCTATTCTGCAATGTTTCAGTCTCCCACTTGTGTGTGGCAAGCTGTACCGCCGGGAACATGCAAAAAATAAATAGGCTAAATAAAGAAGCGTCGACGCAAAAATATGACGTTGACGCAATTTTGACGTCGAATCATCGACGCGCCGCTACAGCACTAATAACCAGTCTGAAGAGGTGTGTATATGTGCAGGGGAGACTGACACTGAATGGGGCTCGTTTTCACCAAAAAATATAGAGACAATAGACTGAATAGATGCATAGAAGAGGACAATAAACACCAGTTTTCATTTTAGAGTCTAATCAAAACGTAACAGATTTTAGCACAGCTTTAGTTGCAATGCATTTCTAGATACAATTCCAACTTCCATATTATTTTATTCCGATATTTCATACATTTCTAATAACTTCACAAAACTGTGAAGCTATTTATATAAAATAAAAATCATTTTGACAATAATAAATTCTAAATTTACAATAAACTGCCACGTGTCAGCTTTCAAATGAGATCATACTTGTGCTTTTAGTGCAAAGGGTTCATGAAGTGTTTCAGTTTAGGTATGCCATTTCTGGGGATTTTTCAAAAGTGCTGGATATTCATTTCTGTAGAGCTGGAAATTGACTGAGGAAGACTGAATGAGTTCTGCTTTGAGAATGAAACCAACCTGTTTGTTCCTTAGTTTCTTCTTGTTTCACACTGAATGTTTCTTCAATCTTCACATCTTCAATCTCCTCTTTAATAAACGCCATCTTTATAATAGTGTCACGTGGATCTCAGGTGCGTCACCTGGAGTTTCTGTGTGTTTGTCCTGTTTAAGATGAGAATAATTAATAAGAAAATATAACCCAAATGCGTCTCAATCAGCTCCTCAGTTCAGTAGTCAGTGTAGTCAGTGTATTGGTAAGAGAGATAGTCAGAAGGAATGGCTTTAAATAAAAAGTTATACAGACACTAAATTTAGTTGTATAAATACAAATGTTATGAAATCTACAAATCATTAAATTTAATGATTTGTAGATTTCATAACATTTGCAACTGGTTAATAAAACTTGTCGTTGTTTGTGTTCTTGTTGCATAATCAATTACATTTACCAAAATGCATCTTCAGTATGCAATGAATCAGAACTTCAAATCACTGAATCATTTTGCAAAGCCTTAAAGGACAACTCCAGCGCAAAATGAACCTTTGGTCTAATTACACATTGCTACCTAGTCAACCGTTATCTGAGATTTGTTTTCATGATTGCCGAATGTAAATAGTTTTATCTCTAAAAACAGTTTAGCCTATAACGCTAGTATAACGCTAGTATATAGGGAATAGAGTAATGACAAATAAAAATCGCTTGTTATTACCACTAAAAAGGCTCAAAATAGCCCCACACTAAAACGACAGCATAACAAAGGTCCCTACATTCAAACCGAAGCATTGAGAACTTTGTCAGTGTCCATACAGTTTAATAAGAAGATATTTTATACACACAGTCAACTTCGCGAATACAGGAAGAAGCCATCTTTGAAAAATAGTCTCTACCAGTCGATCTACGAACGCAGATCCATGTGCGCTGAACTTTGCAGAATCTCATATGGTCCGTTGTTTCCGGAAGAAACACAAACACGAACCGTTTTCTTCTCTTCAATATGTACACGTAGCCTACTGTTCGCGCTCACCTTATCACCTTATTCACATCTCACCGGTGGACATGGATCGGCGTTCGTAGATCGACTGGTAGAGACTATTTTTCAAAGATGGCTTCTTCCTGTATTCGGAAGAAGTTGTCCTTTAATTGTCCTTTAGTTGTCCTTTAATAGTTCTTTTGACGTGGAGTTTCAAAAAGCTGTTTCATCACTAATGCACTACTTGCACAAGTACTTCCGCGTTCAACTTATTACAGGAGTTTCCGGTTAGAGTGTTCATCCAACGTCCCTACATGAGAATGCAGATTATCACTACGTTTTATGGATGTCATTCAATTAAAACAATGAATAATGATCTCTGTATTAATTATCTTGAGCCTGCTGAAATGTTCCTATAAATATATTTCCTTTCCAACTATTCCATTCTGAAAAATAAATAGGCTAAATATATTTATCCACTAACTGGCAGCAGTCCTATGTCCTTATCTTTTATACCTGTTGAATTTACATTTTTTTAATGAATTTGACTAATAAAAAGTATTTCTTGAGTGCATTGGTGCTTTATTCCTGTCTTTTTAAAATAGTGAGGTGCCTGTAACGATCAGAACGCATGCAGCGTAGAGGAGAATGACAATCAACTTCTTTGAATAATAATTAAGCATTTTGGGCATGCGTAAAACGATTGACATTAAAAAAATGACACTGAATGATTCAAATATTTAATCCAAATAAATAAATGTTTGTGTTTCGTACGTTATTCATCTGTTCTCACACACTTCAGCGTCGCGGTCAATAGACGAACACTGACACCCTGTGGTGAAATAATGGTGTTTTTTTTTTTTACAGCCGCAGCTTTCTCAGATTGGCTTGGTTTGGATTAAACCAATCCAATCCAGATATGTTCTGATGAGTTTGGAAAATTCTGCACACGGTAAACATCAGAATATCCCTTCTTCTAGTCAATAAAAATATCCAAAATATAAAATCTTATAAAAGACACTCATTTTAGGTGGCGTTTATTTAACTCATTGACCGCAGTACAGTGAAAGCAAACATAATCGGAATAAAGTGATATGTATTTATTTCCAAACGGAAGTGCTTCACGAAGTTCAGTGCAAGTGGTCCATTGCCAGGCTTGTGGAATCGAGTCACATGACTTGAGCCGCTCTTCCACCGTAGGAGCCAATCGTTACATTATGTGCCAGATATGGTTTCATTTCCCAGAAGCTCAAGAGGAAATATAACTGGAACCATTCCCAACTGTTCGGCCAGACAGTGGAAAAGCCGTTTGGGCATGATTTGGAGTGCCAAATTTGACACCTTGCGACTCGATTTAGACTTTCACAACAAAGACTTGCCACTTGACTTGGACTTGAGTCCTGTGACCTGGAAAGACTTTGTCTCTTTTTACAGCTAATATCTACAGCTAATATCAAGTAACATTGCCAAGAAAAGTATGTGAAACCCCTTGGAACGAACTGGTTTTCTGTAGTAATTTGCCATAAAATGTGATCTTATCCTCATCCAAGTCAACACAATAGATCAACATAATGTGCTTCAGCTGATAACACACAATTCTAGTTCCTCATATCCTTATTGAACAGACCCATTAAACATTTACAGTGCAGGGGCTCGTTCTTCGTACGTTGCTTAAAACATCCGAGATCAAATGAGACATCTAAGATGATATTATCGTGCTTATCATGATCCGGCTAATTGGGTTCTTCGAACACACTTGTTGTTTATGATTAGTATCGCTGGATTGAGTTATCTGAGATAACTGCGCGTTCTCGCTGTTGGTTTAGGCCATGTTTACACGGAAACGATTCCGAAGAGAAAACGCAAAAGTGCCGTTGCGTCATCTTTTTTTATTCTGCGTTTAGACCAGCGTTTTGTGTGGGAAATCTGCGTGCAAATGGAGACGCAAAAGTGTGTGAAATTCAATGTAGTATGCACTTCAGGCGGCTAGGAGTGCATACTACAACAACACCAAA